CCCCGGCCGCGCCTCCGCTCCCGCCGCGGGTCCCAGCTGCCCGCGCAGCTTCCGCCGGAAGCCCCGGCGGGTCCTCGGCGCCCGCACCTGGGCGCGCCCGGCGGGGAAGGGCCTGGACTCGCCGAAGGGCGCCCCGAGGGCCCCGCGACCCCAGCGCCCCTGTGGAGACAGACGGTGGTTTCGCGGGGCCCACAAACTGCTGCAGACGGGGGTGTGGGCGCCCCGTCTGACCTACAGACTCGGGGTCCGCAGGCCTGCGCCCCCGGGCCCGCGGGCTGCGCTCGGCTCTCATTCACCCCGGCCCGGCTCCCCCGGACCCCGCCGCGGTTCAGCGGCCCCTGAGCAGGTCCCGGCCCGCCTGGGCTTGGTCCCACCAGGGTGGGCCCAAGGGCGCCCTGACCCGGCTCCCCAGTGGGTCCCGGGCCCCGCGCCCAGCTTGAACGCGCACCCGAGTCGTCCGGGCTCGAGGACCCCAGGAAACCCTGACCCTGCGGGTTGGGCCCCAGGACTTGGTCTCTCCCGGGAGGCCGACTGGCCCTCAGACCCACGCCCAGCAGCCCCGGGGGAATCCGGCGGGACCCCGCGGCCCTTGCGGACTCTGGGCAGCGGAGCTGCGGCTGAAACGCGGTGGACACCTCCCCTTTCCGCCGGCAAACGGGCTGCCCCCGCCCCCCGGGCGTCGCCCCACGCCCCGCCGCGGAGCCGCCGAGGGCTCCGCGCCAGCCGAGCACGTTCTCCCCCCGCAGCCCTCGTGTCCTTTGCTCAGAACACGGAAAGTCCCGCGGGAGGACGTGCCTGGGACCGATCGCGGCACGACGGGGCCCAGGACTCCCAGAGCAGGGGATGATCCGGGGTTCACGGGGCTCCTGGGGTGACGCGAGGTGGACCGAGTGGCGAATAGAACTAAAAACCCAGAGCCCTCTCCACGGAACCAAAGGAAAAGTAAAAGTTTTGGGTTGTTACCTAGTAAAGTTTGGTTTTGTTTTTATGCGCAAGCGTTGGCCAGAATTGCGCACGGATTTGAAGGCCTCCCACTAAGACAGAGAACCCCCTTTTTTGTGTAACTGACCAGACAGGCCCCATTGCCCGGATGTCCAAGGGAAATAGGCTCCAGTCGGGGGTCACACGGCCCACTGGTCTCACCCAACCCACCGGAACCCCGGCGGGTGACTGGCCTGGGCAGGCGTGTGCTCCTGGCTGCACCCCTGGCCACAGGGTCCCCTAATCCCTTCAGGGCAGGTGCCCCCCGCAGAGAGGTCAGCCCCCTCTGGACAGGGATCCCCGCCTGCGACCCTGGGAGGCCAGGACGCTGTCCCCCTCATGGCCACTTTCCAAGAGCTGGTTCCCACGTCGTTGAGAAAGACGCGCGCGCCTGGGCCGAGAAGTGGAAAAGGGCTTTATTTAGTTGTTTTCAAGACTTGCTACTGAGCACGTCTGAGTTGAATGTTCTGAGGAAACGGGGGTCGGTCACGTCTCGCCCAGGTTTCCAGCTGGGGCACCGAGCGGGCTGCCGGTGTTGGTGCCCGCAGGGTGGCCCGGAGCCCACTCTGTGCTCCTGCAGAGAGGTTTGAGTGCGAGGGAAAGTGGGGACAGGTGGGGGTTCGGCCAGGAAGCACAAGGGGCACCATGCCAGGGTGGGAGGGGGAGGCGCCTGCCTGGGCCGCAGACATTGACCCTCGTGGGTGCTGCTCGGTGCTGTTGGGGTCGTGGGGAGGCTCCAGAGTCGTGGCTGTTGAAGGAGGCTCAGGCCGGGCTTGGGACGTGCCCAGGATTCCCCCGTACAGGGCAGGATTTGGGCAGCAACCTCCAGGTGCACCTGCGTGGAGCCGGGTGTGGGGCCTTACCCAGAGGCGGGGCTGCTTTCAGCACGCAGGGGGGCAGGCCGCAGACCCAGATCAGGAGTTTGAGAAGCAGGTGGGAGGGGAGGGGGCCTGACGGCTCAGGGCCCAAGTGTGGGGGTGGGGGGGCTGGCGGGGAGAGGCAAGGAATTACAGGATGATCCCTAGTAGGAAGGTCTGGATGCAGGTGAGCAAGGACTCCCCCAGTCGCCCCCAGGGCAGGCCCTGCCAGCCTGGCCCTTGTGTCCCCATCTGCGCTGCGCGCCTCCTTCAGCAATCAGGCTGTGGCCAGGTCGCTGTGGCAGGAGCCAACGTGGAGGTGTTTTCATCACAGCTTTGTTTAGAAATGACCAGAAAGGCGCCCGCGGGGATGGCTCAGTTCCGTGGTGAGGATTCCACCGGAATCCATCAGGAGCGCCAGAGAGTCGTGGACGGTGCGGGGCCTCCAGTCTCCACAAGCCCAGCCTGTGCCTCCTCCTTCCTGTGGGTGTTTGCCGCTAAACCAGTGTCTGCCCCAGAAGGACCCCCTCCCCACACAGCAGCTTTTACCCAGCCTGATAAGCTGCAGTCACACATAAACTGTGTCTCGGATGGAAACAGGAAAACACTCAACTGTTTTTCCGCTGCCAGGCTGCGAGGTGGGGTCGGGTGACACAGACTCTCCCTGCTCGTGCCCAGGGAGGTAGAAAATTCCAAGGTAGGGACTGGTTCTGTGCCATCAGCAGAAATAATCCTCGTTTCATGTTCCCCACAATGGGACCCACCACAGAAATTACTGTATACATTACTGTAGGATCTAAATTACTTCCTCCTAAACATGTAACATTCTCTGCTAACCGAAATCCTACTTCATGAGACTTGAGAACCATAATAAAACACAGAAGTGTGCAAGATGGAATCTGGAGTCTTGCGATTTCGTGCATTTCATATGGAAGAGCAACACAGGTTTGACTTTGAAAATGAAATAAAGATTTCACAAGCCAGAGAAAATCCCAGGACACACGTGGGCCTGAGAAATGCTGAAGTTCTGAATTTTCCCGCTGCGTCCCCGGGTGTGAAGCTCACTTTTTTCCTTCAAGTTCCTTCTCCTAACTTCGTGAATGAAAACTGGCCTACCTCGATTAGCAGCGGAAGCGTATTTCCAGGAAAGCTGCAACCTTCGTTAAACACAAGAAAATGGAAACCCCGTCAGAGAAAAATCGCAATACTTCAGCAAAGGCCACTCGGGTGGAGGGGCTGCGCGCCCTCGTCTACAGCACAGAACTTTTCCCGAAACCACCACAAGAATCGTGGACGTTGCCCAGTGGTTCCGTAGAGCAGACCAAACAGCAGAATAGCTTCTGAAGGGCCTTAAGGCCATGAACATCAGACTTCATCCGTGCTTGCAACAAATCAACCACCCACCCACAGAAGATTCTACGAATAAATGAAGCAGACATGGGGCAGGACCTCAACCGGACCTCTCCACAGGCTTGGCCTGCCTCAGGAATGCTGCCTCCTTCCTGGGGAGCTTGGATGCTCAATTTCTACTTCAGAACAACCGCTTTTCCAGAACAGGCGGTTGCACCCAGATACAGGTGCCGACAGGCCTCATTCTGTTAGAGATTCTGTGTCTTAGTGCAAATGTAAACACCTCACCTCATTCCTTTCTTCTGTCTGGACAGTGGGGGGTTCAGAGTGACAGACACAGCACCCTCTGCTTGTGTGGGAGGGGGGCAGCCAGCCCCTAAAGGATAGGGAGCCTCTGACCTCATCTCCCCACAGAAATGCAATCACTTCACTCATGATTTCAACAACACTGAAATCAGTGGGCAGTGGGGGCTGTATCTTTAAGTTTCACCCAGTTCCCAATTCCCAGAAATGACCAGAAGTTTGTACTGGGCCTCACTGAAGAGACAGATCTAGGTCCAGGGCTCTTCACTTTCTGTAACCTCCAGAGGCGGCTGGGACGTCTGAGACTTGACAGATGAGTACTGGGCAATGAGACAAGTGTACCCACTTGGACCTTGTGCTTCCCTGAAAGTCTCCTGCACCCAAAGTATTATTCTTTTATGCTCTGAACTGCAAAATGAAAAAGATGGAAAGATACAAAGGACGAGAGGAAACTGAATAAAAGCAGCATTAAAGGAACCCTCTAAGGCAATGACCTTACACTGGAAATCTTTAGAGGTTTGTACAAGTAGGTGCAAATAAGGTGTACACAGAGTGAATGTTTTCTAGTAAGTGTTATCAATACTGATTCAAGAAAAGGTACAAATTCCATGCTGACAATTACTACAGAAGCATCAATATATAGAAAGTAACTCCCTCACAGGGACAGCGCCTGCTCTGGTTGATCAGTGACATTCTATGATCCATAAGGACTAGATAATCCCATGCCACTTTGGCCACCCGGTAGTCTTGAGAAATAAGGCATCCAAATGATTCCTCAAAATCTTACGCAGATTTCCATTGACAAATTTCACCTGTGGCCATGGATTCAAAAATGGGAATATTTGCAAGTATTTCTCCTCCAAACAGTAGCAAAATCAAGTGCAGCTTTCTCAGGAAAGCAGTGGCTGTACTGCAGATGAGATACAATCACCTACTAGACGTTCGGAGAAAGCTCTGTGACTGCGTGCACACCGGTGAGCAAAGCTATTTGTACAGGTGATAATGACAGAGAGACATGAGCGCCTGTCCTTAGGCTGACAGGTGTCACTGATGCCTAAGGGACAGAGGAGCCGCAGCTGAAAAGTACCGCATGTGAGGCTAGTGGTCGATTTGCAGGAGGCAAAACCAGTAAAATTGAAGGTAGAACAGTAAGAATCATGCGAAATAAGTCAGGAGGAAAAAATAATGCATGATAATGAAAGCGAGAGCAGTGAGATACTGGAAAACCCAGCGTGGACGGGTCATCACAGCCCTATTTACCACGGCCAAGCGACCCAACAGCCTACGTGCCCGGGGACAGAGAGGATCAGAAAGGCGAGCACACACACAATGGAGGAGGACCCAGCAGTCAAGAAAGATAAACTCATGTCATCTGCAGCATCGTGGATGGAGCTGGAGGGGATGCTGCAAAGTGAAGTAAGGAAGGAGGAGAAACACAAATACCAAAAGGTGTCACTTATGTTCTGGACTTGAATTTCGTATAAAGACCACAGCACATCAGATTCCTTTTGTGAAGACTTTATTTGCAACTAATTACAGCGAGTGAGGTGTGAAGATACAAGAGTTCCTGCCGCCTTGGCCCACCTTCTCCCCAAAGTTCTATCTCCCATTGATACAGCTCGGCGTGACTCTGTGAACACTGGAAGGGTGCAGCACATCTGCACCCAAAAGTCATTAAGAAAATGTTTCTACCCCAAACCACCCCAGCCCTGCAGACTCCTGGAAGAGTGACGGCTACGGAGCTGGCTCGAGCACGCGCTGGACAGTCGCGCCTATTTTTTCCTCCTGACTTATCTTGCCTGATTCTTACTATTCTACCTTCAATTTTACTGGTTTTGCCTCCTGCAAATCGAACACTAGCCTTACATGCAGTACTTCTCAGCTACGGCTCCTCTGTCCCTTAGGCATCAGTGACATCTGTCAGCCTAAGGACAGGCGCTCATGTCTCATGTCTTCACCTTCATCCTGTGAAGGAACAAAGACATGCTGGTTCAGGAGAGAGAACTACCCTAGGCGGCAGGTCAGTGTGGTGAGATGACTCCAACCCCCAGTGACCGATGCCCAGAACTTGCCTCTGCGGGCACCAGAACAGGCAGCAGGGCCCCGGCCCATCCGCAACTGAAACCCAGGTCCCCGCTGAGATCGCAGTGTCACTAGGAGCTTCCGAGAGTTGGATGTGTCACCTGGAAGAGCCCTGAAATGCAAGTGGCCTGCTGTGAAGCCAGTAACTTTCTTCTTCACAAGTGGGGGTGGGGGAGTACTATTTTCATGCTAAGGCAGGAGAACCAAGCAGGCACAGAGCGGTAAGTGCACCCCATTCACACCCCGGTAGACAGATCCGGGCTGGTAACAAAGTACCGTATTTCACAGAGCCGGAGAGCTGTGTGCCCCAGTGATCTGACCCACGTTTGGTTGCTTTCATAACCTGTCACCTGACCTGAGAAGAAGGCAGGCCCTTTGAAATTTACAGGCATGTCTCAGGTTCATGGAACAATCACACATGACGCCCTGCGGTATGAGATCACATAGTACCACGAAATAACAGCAACGTTGCAGGATACAAGACTAACGTACAAAAATGAACGGCCTTTCTACGTCCCAGCTGTGGACAAAAGGAACTGAAAATTAAAAACTAAATATCATGGACATTAGGACACCCCCCCACCCCAGTAAGGTTCCTTCACTGGTGCCATTGTAGGACACACGAAGGTCTGTGAAGACATTACAGCATCAGTAGACCCTGAGTCTCCGGCTGAAAGTCTATAAAACAGTCTCATCCAGAAATCTAAAGCAATGAAAATAATTTACAAACTAATGAAATGAACCTCTCCACAGATATCCCTGCTCCCTGGACACCATCAGCTAATGGATTTTCAGTTGTTCTGGCTATCAATTCCTCTGCAGAGTGTAACAATTGACTGCATTTCTCTTTCAGGACCACACAGAGTTCTCCGATGCACAGGCCACTGTAAACCACTGGCCACACGGTGTGCGCGTACAGGTCTCTCCATCAGGGCGTCTGTGCTGAACCGCAAGTCCAGGCCATGCTACATTCAAGACTCTGAGGTCCCTTGGCTGTGTGAACCTTCTCATGTCCGCAAAGACGTGCACATGGACGGTTCACGTGTGTCTCTTTCCTCCGTGCACGTTCCGGTGTCGGCTGAGGCTGGAGTACTGCTTGAAGGCCTTGCCGCGCTCTCCACAGCTGGAAGGCTCCTCCCCAGTGTGAACCCTCGGACTGACCGTGAGGCTCCCGTCCTGAAGGAAGGCCTTGCCGCACACACTGCATGTATACGGTTTCTCTCCCGTGTGGATTGTCTTATGCTGAGTAAGGTTGGAACGTCCAGCGAAGGCCTTGCCACACTCCTGACATGTGTAAGGCTTCTCCCAGGGGCGGATCCGCTCATGACCCCACAGGGGTGACCATGTGGTGAAGGCCTTCCCACATTCTCTACACTTGTGAGGCTTCTCTCCAGGGTGGATTCTCTCGTGCTGAACGAGGGTGGAGCGCTTGGAGGAGGCCTTGCCACACTCCTGACATGTGTAAGGCTTCTCCCCGGTGTGGATCCGTGCGTGGCCCCACAGGTGGGACCGTATCGTGACATCCTTGCCGCACACGTGACACTTGTACGGTTTCTCCCGTGTGGATCCTCTGATGCCACGTGAGGTTTGAGACCCGGTTAAAGGCTTGACCACACTCGTCACACTCATGCGGCCTCTGCTCAGAGTGAATCCTTTGGTGATTAGCTAAGACTGAGCAGTAGCTGAAAGCTTCCCACAGTCCTTACACCTGTAAGGTTTTTCTCGGATACACGTTTTCTGGTGTCTTGCGAGCAACGAGGGAGGAACCAGGACTTTACCGTACTTACGGCCCGGGGTGGGGCGGCCCCCAGGAGGAATTCCTTGAAGGGGGGAACCCAAGCAGCCGCTCCTGCTGGGCTGCTCACCGGGGTCACATCCACCAGCTCCGTCTTCAGTCCGCGAGGCCTGCAGCGCAGCCAGGTGTGAATGCAAGCTGAACCCCAGCCTGCTGTCCCAGCAGCTCGCCTGCTCGCTTCCCGAAGAGTCGACGTTATCTTTCAGGTCCTCGTTCCTCATGTAGGGCTTGTCCTGCGTGTAATACGCAGCCAGACTTCCCAAAGGGGTGTTAGGCTCAGTGAGGAGGCGGCCCCAGGACCCGTGAAGCTGCCGCTCTCCCCTACTCCTGGGATCTCTGGGCCAGGCGGCGGCCCCTCCTCTATCACCATTTTCTTCACATCCCCACTGGCTCTCAACTGTGCGCTTGTCTGACTGCACGTCCCTTAAATTAAAATCTTCGCAATCATGACTCAGGTGTCTTTCCACAATCGGCGTCTGGGGTGACTCTTTCAGTGACAGCTCTTTGATCACACATCTAGCAGCGATATCTGTGATAGAAACATCACAGGCTTTCTCAGGTGGAGACAGGAGAGGGCTCTTTTCTATTGGAAAATGTAACATCACAGAAAATGCGTGACTCATGATGGACCGTCGTCAAGCCCCTCAACCATGGTCTGCAAAAGCTCAGACACAGAAAGGAAATCAGGCTCCTCAGGAAAGAAAGGGAGACCACCACATGGAATTCAAATGATCTCTGGGGAAGGCTCTTTTCAAATGCTCAGTGATCAACAGTTACCACGGTCCTGGAACTGGGGGGGCTTTCCCACAGGAAGCCCCGACTCGCTGGACACATATGGGTGTCTCACAGTTAAAAAAAAAAGTGAAAGCTAATCACTGAATTTTCATTCTAAAAAAGCATTAAAGCAACACTAAGAATACGAGAAGATTTCATGTTTCTAAGATGGTGAGTTTCACCAAGGGATCAATAAAGTCAATGTGAAAACGGTCAAAATTCCAAGAGCCTTTCTGGGAGGAATGGAGAACACGCCCAGGTCACTGTGGATGTTGTCTGCAGAGGGCCCTGGTGTCGGGACAGTGCAGGAAAGGCTGAGACATACACAGGAGGGACCACCCACTCAGGCGGTCTGGTATTTTAGTCTTCCAGAGGTTTCCTTCTACTCAACTTCTCACTCGGTATGAAGAGCACAGACCCTCTGAAGAAGGAGGAGTTTGAAATCCACATACCAAACTGCGAAGCTTCCATTTCTGAATCATTAAGGCTTCAACGTTAGCCACACAAGGCAGCCCAGCAAGACTCCAAAGAGGAAACACAGCTACCCCGGGGCAGGGACTAGCGGGACGCCCGCCTCCCCCAGAAAGAGCAGGCTCGTGCAGGCCTCCAGCATCACGTCCCTGTACAGGGCCCGCTGAGCAGGCCGCAGGCGCTCCCTCTCCTCCTTGGATAAGTCGATGGCCACGTCCTCGAAAGTCAAGAGCTCCTAAAATGAAAACACGTTTCACCAAGCGGCCACCAGGACAGGACTTGTCTTCACACCGATGAGAAGAGGAGGTAGGGGTGAGGGTGAGCGAGGCAGAAACGCGACTTCTCTACCTCCAGCACTTGACGGGAGCAAATCCTAGGACCCTGACCTCACTTTGACACCGCCCCGGAGGAAGGGATCCACTAAATCCCTGCGGGTGTTAGGAACTTGTGCAAGATAAAGCAAGACAGGACTTGATGTTCTACACACCGGGGGCACCGAAGTCCAGGTGAGCTGGGCATGCGCAGTGTTTTCAGGCAGAACGAAGCCCACAGGCGCCTTGGGGGAGATGAGAGCTTACTAAAGGGAGAACAACAGTAACAGCCAAAAGCACGAACACTTCCCCAGGGTGGGCATCCTGGACGCTTTCCAAGTACAAACTCTGCCACACGGCAGAAGGACTCGTTCCTGCCTGACAGAGGAACTGGCTGCCTCCAGTCACTTGAGGAAACTCACTTCAGGTCACAGGACCCATTGGTGCAGGGCCAGCGCCTGAGTCAGGCGGCCACAGGGCTTCGCACCGAGCCTGCAGCAGCCACAGCTGAGCGCGGAGACATGGCTTCCTCGCCGAGAAAACCTGTGACAGGTGCAAGGCTGAAAGGGTGGCTCTGGGTAGAAGGCCCGTGGGAGGCACGTGCAGGAGTTAGATGTGACTGAGCCAGTGCTCATCCCTACTCGTCGTGCAGAGAAGGGGCTGGCTGCCTGTAGGTTGTGTCAGCCTGAGAGACTTTCCAGGCGAAGGGGGGCTCATGGGGAGGACAGAACCATTAACTGAGAAAACAACTTTACCTGGGAAAGAACATTCCTCACTCCTTGCTCCTGCCGTCTTTCCCTCCTCCAGGTCCTGTCTCAGCAAAATGAGTCTGGAGGCCTTGATCCTGAGCGTCGAGAACACACAGAGAGCGCCGAGTCACAGGCCCGCCTGTGGCACATGCAGAGCAGGCCCCAGTCACAGGAGGGGCGGAGGGGCAGTCAGCACCCACCAGCTAAGGCCTGGTTACACGATGTCACTAAGCTCAATTCACAAGCTGGTGATCATTTACAGAGGTGTAAATTCAAGACACTAACTTATCTCAATGTACTTTAAAAAAATGAGATGTGAAACTTAGAAAAGAATAAAGCCATTACAAAGGAAAGAAAACTAAACAGTGAAAATCCATGTTAAAAGGCAGCAGGGGCTGACACAGCAACTTCCGGTCTCATTTCCCCTCCCTCAGGTCAGCACCCCCTACCCGAAAATAGAAGTGAGTGAGCCATAACCGGCTGGGGGGGGGGGTGTCTCCCTCTTCTGGAGGAGAAGGCCTGCAGACAGGGAAGGGAACCCCGGGCGCGAAAATGAGGGAAGGTCAAGCCTAATAAACAGGAGTGTTGCCCGCACTCTCCGCACAGGGGCCTGATGAAGCTGCCTTCAAATTACACTGATCACAAGTCCTCACAACTTCATCACCCACATCCCATCCACTCACCCCTCATGCGGATCTGGGTCCCCGCCCTCCTAGTTCTCCACCACCTGTTCTGCTCCAACTCTTGAACCCCCTTTCACCTCTGCTGCTCTTTCTCCCCAACCCCTGTCCCCATCTCCTGATGTTTCCTTCTCTCCCCCACCAGAGTCCTGTCTGCTCAGCGAGCCCCCAGCTGGCTAAACTCGTGCAGCGGGTTCACCCCTTTCTGTCCCAGAAGGAAAAGCTCCCCTCCTTGCCGCTCCGTGGGGAGTGCTTCGCCCCGTCGCCCCTGCTGCAGCTAAGCAAGGGCCCCTCTCCCTGTCTGCTGCCCCCTTCGTCTCTGAACTTCCTCTCTCTGCTCAGTTTCTCCATTTCCTTTTTCCTCTGACGTCTGCCCCGCGTTAGTCTCCCCCGCGTTAGTCTCCCCCCTTGCCTCTACCCGACGCCCTCGCCGGAGCCTCCCGACCATTTCTGCCTCAGTATCCCTTTCTGCCTGTCCCCCAGGCTCCTCGCGCCGCGCGGGGCCTGCCGGCTCAGGGACTCGGCCGCTCTGGCCTCAATCCTGCAACAGGGTGGTCCCCAGGAAAGGGGGAGGTTCCCTGCCCCACCCAAGGGAGGGTGGAGCTGAGCAGGAAGAGAAGCAGCTGCAGAAGAGACTGAGGAAGGAAGCAGGATGGAGCCAGGAAACCTGGAGGAGGCGCGTGGATCCTAGAGATACGTGAAGAAACTGCGCTTGTCTTTTGGTCGTGGACTGGGTGACACAGATGTGGGTGAGACCCATGGGGAGGTGACCATGGCAGCTTTTATCTTGATGTTGATTTTGCTCTTTTCCTTCCGGGCTTGTCTGGTTGTTTCTGACCCTTTTCTGTGGGTCCCCACTGGAAGATGCCTTAGACGTGTGGCAGGCTTTGGGGCCTTGTTCTGGGCCAATCCCATTTGGATGGACTTTAACCCACGAGGGGACGGGTAACTCTGGATGCTTCATTTAGAAACTAGACTCTTTGCCTTACCTGTATTGTTTCCTAGTTTTATTAAAGTTCCTTCCCATTAAAGTCTCCTATGTTTTGTGTTGATGCGGCGGATGGCAGAACCCATTCAGAATAGGCAGGTTTGCGGGGTTTGGGCTGCCCCTCTCCCTGTCCTGTAACAATCCCGGCCCCCCCGAAAAGTGTGCCCTCCAGGCGCGGGGGTCGCGGGAGGCGGTGGGGACTCGGGGTCGGCGGAACACCGGGGCGAGGGAGCGAGCCGGGAGATTTCCACGCGCGCCCGAAGCCCCGCCGGCCCGTCCGGAGCGGGGTGCAGGCCCCAGGCCCGCGCGGGGCGACCCCGCCCGGCCGCCTCCGCCGGGGCTCACCTCGAGCAGGAGGAGCGGGCCGCCGGCCGTGCGGCGCCCCAGGGCCGAGCCCCTCCGGGCGAACCGCGGAGACAAAAGCTCGCCGGGCGCGTGTGACCCTCGCTCCGCGCGGGCGCTTCCGGGCCCGCCAGAAAACGCGGCGCGCTGGATGGACGGGCTGGGGGCGGCGCCTCGGGCTGGAGCTTCCGGAAGTGGGCGCGGCGTGAGGGGCGTCAGCGAAGCAGCGGGGCGGGGCCAGCCGTGGGCGGGGCTGCCCCTCTGCGGGCTCCCGGGGACTCACTTCCGGAGTTCGGAACCTCTTGAACGTCTTTCTCCTAAGTGGGGTCCTGCGGGGCGCGGCCCTCTGGGATCAGCCCATGTCCGACCCATCTCGTTTCCAGCACCTCGTCCGCCTGCTCGGACAACAGCTGCTCGGGCGATCGGGCACATCCTCCGGTCAGGCAGCTCCCGCCCTGCCGACCGGCCCCGGGGGCTCCTCAGAGATGCAGCCGGGCCCCCCAAAGCTGAGTCACCCCTCCGCCGTCACGGACTCCTGGGGAGGCAGCCCCTGGACCCCTGAAGTCGGAAAAGTCCCGTGGCGGGTACTGCGGTGGGGCCGGTCAAGAGACCATCAAACGGCGCCCGGGTGCCGGCCTGTGTCAGGCCTTCCTGCTCGCCGAGACACTGCTGTCGCTTAAGCAGAGTTTTCACTTAAAGGCACTTAACACGGTCACATTTCACCCGATTGTGAGAAAACTCGTGGGAGACTTCAAAATGAAAGATTACTGGGTTTCTTTTCAGTGGAATGGATGACTAGGGTGCCCTTTTCTGTCTGGTGTTGGGAAAAGTTTTCTTTCACCATAAAATGGTGTACTCATTTTTCACCCTGCTGAGGTACAGGAAGATTTAATTATAATTAGTTTTAATACCCTGTGAGAACTCTTTGTACAAGACACATGTAAATATTGAAAGACTATTTCATCTTAAACTTGAAAGCATACAATGTCAGGGTTTCCAACCATTATTAATTGAGTTAATATAAACAATATACACAGTGATAAAAACTCTGTCACGCATGCTGTAATTATTGTGTGTTAATAGGAAAGTGATATTGTCAGTGTAACTGAATGAAATAGATTCTGGCTTAAGTGCTTACAATAAAATAGCTCTAAGGAGATAAGCATCCCTTTGTGGTTGCCCTAGAAACTTTTCCTTTGGAAGAAAAACAACAGTTTAAGTCAGGGAACAGATGAGATGTAAACTTTTCCTTATTAAAACGAGAAAAGCTGGGAAAGAAAGTTCTAGATGAATTCCCATTCAGTGGGCGAGCATAAGCACAAGTGATGGCGCTGAGGAACTAAACGGGACGCAAAGTTCTTTGGGTCCAGGTACCCTGTGGGAGTTTTCTTGTAATCTTGCAGGGGGGCCCACACGGAGCACCCAGTCTGTGCAAATTACTAAACGCCGACTAAGTGTTAACCAAAAAGTAGCCCTCACTCCACTCCAACGCACAAGGGCCACCCACCCGCAGAGCTAACATCTGGCCAAAAGAAATCTCAGCTGACAGAGGAGAGGCCCTCCAGTCTACCCAGACACACACGGCGCGTGTAGCTCGCTGACAGTGCATGACAGGTGAACAGATTAGAACAATGAACCCAGCAATTGGTTCCTGTTTTTCAAAAATGTTCTTGATCGATGCCTTAAGCTTCAAATGTGTGCTGACTTACAAACGTTTATTCCCGAATGCACAACAGACTCCAAGACGCTGTGTTCTAGCTACTGAGGCAACAGCTGCTGTGGCACGAACCCAGGCGTTTAAATAGGAATCCGATGAGGGCGCCAGGGACTCCCGGGCAGGGCCCAGCCAACCTCTCCCGGGCTTCCTGATTCCCCGTGGCCAGGGGTCCCTTCCATGCGGCCTTTACTTGAGCTCCTGCCCCGCTTCTGTTTCTGCCTGAAGGCCTGAGTGTCCTCGTCCACGTCCTTGGCCTGCTTCCTGGGCTGCTTCAGGGGCTTCTGCCCATCTTCCTGGCCGCCCCTTCTCCCAGGTTCCGCCAATGGAAGGCCTATTTCTGGTTTTAAAAAGTACCATAAAATATCCCTGAATAGATTTCATAACCTCTTGTTCGTTCTCATTTGCCCCATATTACTTTGAGGTACAAAGAGGCAAGACATTTCTCCCCTCCCTCCCCCCCCCTCCCTCCCCGGAAGCAGCAACGCACAAGCAGCAGCCACGCACAGCTACGCAGATCAGACTTTGTGGCAACAGCCTTTGAGCGCCGCCTCGTGGCGACTGCTGGGATTTCCGGTCGGAAAATTTCCGGACGCTGACAGGATACCCGACCTGCAAGGTAATGACTAGCATTGAGACTGCCTCTATGCCCGGAGGATATTCAGATAATATTGAAAGATGAAATACCCATGTTTGGGATGTCAGAAATTCAGTGCATGTAATAAAATGGAGACCTCTTGTACAGGAGAAAGCTACAGGAGAATAAAAGGAGTCAGTCGTGATATACACAAGCGCAGACTCTGTGGAAGCCCCAAGGACTGCCAGAACCTACTGCCACTTGTTTTTGCAGAAAGCTATTAAAGAGGAGAATATTACGGGTTTCTGATAGCCAGTAGTCATCGCTTAGTGAAAAACTGCTCCACCCTCAGACAAGGCAGGCTACATACTCAAACTAGACTTCCTCTAGGTGTAGCTGCTACTCATTTAACTCTCGGTATGGTGAACACACATTCCTGGGTATAAAGCATGTATGATGCATAAAAAGCTGTGGGTCCCTCTTAGTACCACAAAGTGGACGGATTACTGTCATTAAGAATTTGTATATTCATCTCATGAAGTCTTTCCAGCCTCAAAGATGCTCTCCATTCAAATGTGGGAGGGGCAGGATGTACTGAAAAGGGAAAAAAAGGCAAGTCCTGTGATTTGATTTCAAAGGAGGTGCACCGATACAGAAGGAAGCTCATTTACACGATCCTGATTCTCAGTGTTCAGACATTTAAAGGAAACTGCTATATATGAGATGACAAAGTTGCAGTATCAGAAGAATCCCAATTTTTGGTATGATCGTGCTTTAAAAAAAAGATTTTTTTTATTTATTTATGCATACAAGAGGTGGGGTGTAGGCCAGAGGTGTGAAGTGGGGTGAGAAGATCCACTAGAGACAGAGTAGGGAGCAGAACAGGGGGATCCACTGAAATACACTGCTGAGGGGAGCAGCAGGGAGACAGGACAAGTCTGCTGCGCCATGTGAGATGGAACTCGTGCTGCAGTGGCTGCCGACAGCTTCATAGTGCTGAGACTAAACCCCTATACCACCAGGGAGTGCCCTTGGTATGACTGTGTTTTAACTGCCTTTCTCCCGGATCACTGGTAGCTAATAAGGTCATGAAAAACAGGCACAGTGAAAAAATACAGAGGCACAGTCTCCAAGGAAGGAGTTCAAGAATGTGGATAAGCGATTATACAGAAAAAGGGACTTAGGGGTTTGACCTGGATTCAGTGTCAAAGTCACAGGAAGAGTTAATTAGGAGGCTTGAGCTGAGTTAGGAAAGAGAGCTGGACTCTTAGACAAATCCATGATGCCTCCTAATACACTTTAGTGTGATCCTGAAGGGCAGTGACTTGGGGCATTTAATTGAAAGGATAATCAACCTGATTTTTAAGTGCTTAAGGACCACAGTAGTAAAATCAATCATAACTACATTTTAAGGATTACAGTAGGGCTATCGTAATACCCCCACGTTTGTGATGAAGACAGAATAAAGCTAAGGAATTATCTAGCCCTTTGCAGAAACTGTGCCCCAAAGCTTCTGTCTCCCTAGATTTCCAAATCAGTTGCCATGGAGTTATGGGGTTTCTTGTACGAATTTTGTCATTCTCTTCTCCCTCTGATGCCTATTATCTGTTCCCACTGCTCTGCTGTGAATTCAAGGATGGTGCAGTTCTGTGGGCTGAAAATTGGAAAACAACTCACTTTGGGTAACAACCACCATCAAAAAGGTCTCCAGAGAGCAGAGTATCCGGGGGACACATGAGCTGCTCTTTCATCACGCTGGGCCTCGGAACCCCCCCAAATACTGCAGTGACCTCCTTAGCGATAACTAGAAACTTATAATTGTTTGGGGGATAATTAACATCAGCAAAAACTTTTCCACAAATATTCTCAGCTTCCCAAGCCTGTCTTCTCATTGCTATTACAGGTGAAAAGATAATTGCAGTTCTGCGGGGAGGTGAGGTTACAGAATCCCAAACCTACATCTAGGGGCCTCACCACCTCCCAAGCACACACCACATGATGACACTTCCATCATGCTAAGCCTCCTTCGCTCCCCCAGCAGCCAAGGTGTCAGGTGAGTGTTTTTACTGTGAGAGAAGAGGTGTCTGCAGGGAAGGAGCTCTATCAGGAGTCTGGGTTACATGCGCATGAGGAAATGCGATTCTTCTGGGTCTGAAACACGTCCAGTGTTAAAGACACATGGGAAGTACTAATGCCTGAGACTTGAGTGCAACTGAAATATTTTCACTGAATCTGGGTGTAGGAAGTGCTCAGTGCTTAGTCCTTGTTTTCTACTGAAAACACCCATGGTTTGATTGTGAAGGGGCTGTTTTCCATGTCTAAGTTGGGGAGGCGGCCTTTAAGGAAACAGTCATGTCACAGTGGGCCTCCGAGAGCTGCCGTCAGGCACTGGCACATCCTGTGCTTACTTGTCTGGCTTCCACTGACTCTCAAGTCAGTCTCGCCTGTCTCAAGTTCGGTAATAATTGTGTCTCTCACGCTCAATGTTCTGCTTCCTCTCTAGGTCTTATATTTTGACAAGTTTCACAAATCTTCCCTTACTGCTAGTACTCTGAAGTCTTACACAAATACACAGATCCATTTTGATGGAAACCCCAGTCACGGGCCTGCTGGAATGGCCACCAGAGACCTGGCGGTGGGAGTGATCTTTCTAGTGCAGACGTTAGTTGGAATTCTGGGCAATTTCTACCTTCTTTATCACTATCTCTTCTTTTCCTTGACAGGAAGCAGGTTGAGATCCACAGATCCGATCCTCAAGCACATGACAGTTGCCAACCTCTTAGTCATTCTCTCAAAAGGCATCCCCCAGACGATGGCAGCTTTGGGACTAAAGGACTTCCTCGGTGCTTTGGGCTGCAAACTTGTTTTCTGTGCTCACAAGGTGGGCAGAGGCGTGTCCATGGGCACCACCTGCCTCCTGAGCGTCTTCCAGGCTGTCACCATCAGCCCCCGGGGCTCCTGGTGGGCAGGGCTGAAGGACAAAGCTCCCAGGTACCTGGGAACCACCAGCATCCTCTGCTGGTTCCTGAACATGTCACTAAATCTCATAGTCCCTGTGTTTGTGACAGAGAGATCAGGTGGCACAAACGTGACAAGGACAAGAGATTATGGGTACTGTCATGCAGTCACTCACTATAAAATTATAGAGACTCCATATTTAATACTGGCATCGTCCCATGACGTGCTGTGTGTGGGGCTTATGGTCTGGGCCAGCGGCTCCATGGTGTGCACCCTGCACCGGCACAGGCAACGGGTCCGGCACCTTCATAGGAGCAGCGTAGGGGACCCCCGGCACCCCCCCGAGACCAGAGCCACCCAGAGCATCCTGGTCCTGGTGAGCACGTTTGCATTGCTGTGCACCCTCTCTGTTGCCTTCCAGACCTGTATGACTATTTCTAAAAATCCCAGCACGTGGCTGGTGGTGACCTCTGTACTGCTCGCAGCCTGCTTCCCCACTGCCAGCCCCTACATCCTCATGCGCCACGACTCCAGAGTACTGGGGCTCTGCTTTCCAAGAAAATGAGCATGATGAACATGAACCTCCCCCACACTTATCCTAAGTTTGTAAATGGCACATATCTGCAACTGTGCACGGCTCATTCATCCATTCCCCTTGCAACGAAGCACATCTACGAAACATTCACACAAGAGTGTGTGACAAGACATCGTTCTTCTGTATCAAAAATAATAAGATCTCCATTGTATATGATGAAATGGGGTGTAACTGCCACTTGGCTGCTGAGGTAGCTGAGCTGGTGTTTTCAGTGTAAGAGTGCCGTGTCCTTGCTGTATTTAAGCCGTGGTTCTGGAAACAGCCTGGAGGCAATGGAGAAGTCCTTGAGAGTGTAACTTTCTTTTTTTTTTTTTAAAGATTTATTATTTATTTATACCAGAACCGGGGTACATGCCAGATGCGCGCGAGGGTGAGAGGATTCACCAGAGACAGGTGGTGAACAGAACAGGCAGACTGAGGAAATACACTGCTGAGGGGAGCAGCGGGAGAGACAGGAGAGGTCTGCCGCGCCATGTGGGACCCTCGCCGGCCGGCCAGGACCAAACCGGCACTGCAGAGGCTGCGGACAGCTTCACAGTGCTGCACTCAACCACCTGTGCCACCAGGAGAGGCCCGAGAGCATAACTTTCAAGCAGACAATTTCCCCTGACTTTATCGGTGGTTTCCTAGCATGTGCTCCAAAAGCTGGAGAGATCGCATATGAGGTTCACTTAAGAAACTGAAGAAAGCAAGATTCTTCCAGAGGATAATGACTAACACGGATTTCCACTGGAGAGTAAGCAGGTTCAGGCTCAGGCAGAGGGGCTGAGGTCAAACATGAGTTATGTTTTAAATATATTTTGAAGGAAGATTCGGAAATATAAAGGGTGAGAAAACGGAGAGAACAAAAGTATGTTTTTGCCCATTGTTAAGAGACCTCAAATGAGCCTTTAAAAATGCATGCTCTAGGGCATAAAGTGACATAAATTTGGGGACCTGTGAAAGGTTGTTTTTCCGATTCTGTGAAGATGTCAGGTGGGCACGTTAGCGAGACACTGGCTTCCTGGCTCCCTCTTATGTCTCTGGGTGGGGGCAGGAAGTTTATGGCGGAGCCACCCAATCTTAGAGCGGTGAGGGAGCAGGCATGGGAGTGGGGGAGTCATGAATTCATTTTGTTTATGTGGCATCATTTGGCTTGTGTCATTTCAGAAGGGATGAACTAGAGATTTCTTTGATTTTAACAAATATTTTAACATAGCTGTTCCGTATTTACACTTAAAGCTGATGCAATGCATTAAGGAATCACAGTTGAAAAACAGGGTAAGTTAAAACTACTGGATATATATCGAGTCTTAGGCCACAAAATAGGAAAGCGTGTATCTTCCAGTACACATTATGTTAGATATTTTTTTGCGTATTACATCATACAGCCACTAAAACGGTGTTTCTTCACATCGGCATGTGTGTGCATACCTACACAACAGGCAGACAAAGGAAATCGATCAAATGGCGTCTCTTTTCCATCAGTCAGCATTTCTGGAAGAGCAAACTATGGAATCAAACCATACTAACGAGAATAACAAATCGCTTAGAGGGTGAAGTGTGTGATGGGTCTAAGCGGGGTCCCCAGACTCGGGCCACGACTGGACTCGGAAAGGCAGTTCCGGCGAGAGGGGGCCACGGAGCCGACCCCGGCCCAGCAAGCCGCGTCCCAACGGGACCGGCGGGGGAGCCGAGCGGACACGGCGAGCCAGGCGCCCTCTGCCGGCCGCAGGCGGGATCGGGGCTCCTCCCCCGGGAAGTGCGCGCGGCGAAGCCGCCCCTGCAGCTCCGGGCAGACTAAAGGGGTTTGGGCACCAATTTCCGAGGCGGGGCAGGGGTTCCCCGCGCTGGCATAGGCCATGCCTGGCCACCAGCTGGCTGTCCTGTTACTTGAACTAGGTTCTGACATTCTCCGCCTGGCCACCCCACTCCAGGGTCCAGGCTGTGGCCTGTGCTTCTGAGCGGCCGTAATCCAGAGGTTCCCCAACCCCCACCCCTCACCCCCACTCCACCCCCACCCCTCACCCCACCCCGCGGGTTTGATTAACTTGCAGAGCAGAAACGTTTCACTCATCACCGGTTTGGTATAAAAGGATGCGATGAAAGATGCAGATGGAGGCACAGGCAGAAGCGTCACCAAAGGGGGGGCCTTCCAGGCAGCCGGTGGGCTCCCAAACCCCTCCTTTGTTTACCGAGGCCGGACGGCAGAGTCAAGCCCCTGCGGGGCGGGGGTGCGAGCATTCCAAGCCCCGTTCCCAGGCCCTCGGTTCCCCTGGCAACCAGCCCGCGACCTTTTCCTTTTCAAAGTCACTTCGCGCTGAACAAAAGGCTCCCTGTTGCTCTCCGCGCGGAGGAAATTCCAGGGGCGGCGGGAGCTCCGTGCGGGCCGGGAGGAGGCCCCAGCGGGCGTTTCTTACAGTCCCGGCCGCACAGGCCGACCCGGGCTGCGCAGGCACCGCCAGCCTCTCCCGCGGTTGGGTAAAAGCACACGGCATGCGTTGTTTTTTCCAAGGCACTTGGGAAAAGCATCCGACGGGATATACTAAGGTGCGTTTGACATTCACAGGAGCAACTGTGACCAAGCCCAGCTGGGGCTGGACCAAGACTCCCCAAGGTGGCGGCACAAGGGGCCCCTATGTCCTTGTGACAGGAAAGGCAGCTTGTGCAAAGCTGTGCAAAGCTAGTGCAAACTAGCATGTGCAAAGCAACTGCCCTAAAGGAGACAGAGGGGTGAGGCTGTCGCTGTTCTTAGTGGGGGACTCCCTGCTGGCGAGGAGGGTCCTGCTGGCGAGGAGGGTGCGAGGCTGGGTGGAGACGGCATGAAACTGCACGCTCTCCGCACTCGCGGAGCACCAGGCCCACCAGCGGGAGAGGGCCGAATTTCTGGATGAGAAAAGCCGCTTGGTGAGGTTGGGAGGGGGTGAGAAAGTCTCCTGAAACAGCAAATGCTCTGGCCCGAGAAGTGGGCTGCAGGCAGGGCCTCCACTGTCAGGCATGTGAAAGAGGCTGGGGATGAGGGGCGGCTGGGGGCGGAGGGTGGTGGTGGTGGTGTGTGTGTGTGTGTAAGGGTGTGTGCTTTGTTCTCCGCTCACCTCCAGGCAGGAGGGAAGGCCTAGGAGGCCTCAACATTGATACAGAACTTGGAGTGAATGAAAAACAGCGTCAGCTGTACTACACCACAGTCAACCAAAAGGCCACTGAGAAGGGAAAGGAATCCTGTCTGTGCTGCCTGCTGAGTGGCGAAGCTCCCTCCCCGGTAACTCCTGATCCTCCGCTACCAGCAGTTTGAGGAAAAAGCAGGATAAAAGGGAGTTCTGAGGAGGGAAGGCCTCAGATACTGCAGTGCTGTGGACACGACACACGGGGACCCCAGGCATCACCCCCTGAAGTCCTTGGGCTGGGAGCTTCCAGAGTGAGGTGCTGGCAGAGCTGGGGGGCGGGGGGGCAAGCTTAGCGAGAGGCAGGGAGAGAAGGAAGCCCACACTGTGAATTGGCAAGAGCCCAGAGCTGCCAGAGGAGCAGGCGGCACAGCCCCGGGGCGAGAAGGGAGAAGCCCCTCCCCACCCTGGCTGCGCACTCCATCCACCGCGGCCCTGGCATCTGAGATGCTTCTGTTCAGGCCTCTTCTTGCTCCTGCCCTTGACACACACAAGAGCTCAACTCCTGGTCTCTGTGCACAAAAACAAAACAAACGCAAAACGGACACAGACTAAACTAAATGGCTCTTGTCTGTGTGGAATTCACAGGGATGGAAAATGCCAACAGGCCCCCGTGGCACTTCTGAGGTCACATCACCAACAGCTTTCCAGAAACACTGTCCTCAAGCATACTGAAAAGCAGAGCTCAGAGAACTTCAGGTAAACAGGAAGGAGAGCATCACCCCACCAGCCGGGGCGGGGTGCGCAGAGGTGTGCTCTCAGCAAACGGCGGCACCTCTTGAGCTTGCAAGTCGAGTCTTCACGTTGCCAGTGACCACAGTGAAAACCTAATGGACTCCTGCTGGCGCGTCCAGGAGAAGCAAAGTCCCAGGCTTCTGGGAACGGAAAGAACCAACTGTGAGGCGCCTGCAGCCCCACCCTCCCCCTGCACTTCCTAAGTCCGTCTGCTCTCCCAGGAAATGCAGTTTCCCAGGACAAACCACCCGGACGGGGCCCAGCGTGTCCTGAGTAACTTTCCCTGTGCCCTCCTTTCACTACAGAGTTCTGTTTGTTGTCGTTCTCACAGTGCTGGTGGCACATAAAACCCGTTCTTGATTTAAAAAGTTAGCTGATGTCTCCCACGTGCCATGTGTGGTATGTTCACACAGAACAGCCGCGCTCTATCTAGCGTGGCATGGGATATCCCACACTATTAATGCAGGGCATTTGGAATGTTCTAGAAAGGTACAGCTCAGACAAACGAAGTGTGAAAAGTCAATGCAGGAGGCGGGAATGCAAAGGCCCACCAGGAAGCCCACCTGGGGCCAGAAATGTGGAAGCCCACCTAGAAAATTCAGACAATAAGCCTCTCCCCGACCTACGAATCTTTTCGCACCCTACAAACTTTTTCCCACCGTACAAACCCTGTTTCCCACCTGCCCTCTCCTCACCCTATAAAAGCCTGCCTCCGCCTGGCAAGTGCGCAACTTCATGGACCCCACCTTGGGTCCGTGAATTCCGCTCCGGAGCACAATAACTTTTCCATTCCTTTAAGAAAGCTTAGCCTGTCTCTCCTTTTCTTTAAGGCACCCCCAACCTTTCAAAGGGCTTATGGAGCATTAAGAGGGAGGGGGCGGAGGGAGTCACAGTCCTTCCAGAGCCTGTCTGTTTGCCCAAGTTTCAGGTCAATACTCTCAAGGAAAAGACTGAGGCTCTGTCTACGCAGCTATGAAACTGTTTCGACTAGAACACCTGCCCCTATGCCCAGGGGATCTGAATTCTCCACTCGGATCACTTGTAGATCTAGAACCTGACCGCGTCCCATAGGGGACACATCAGAAAACACACCCA